TTTTCAGCAAATTGTATTTCAACTTGTCGAAATTGTTTGAATGCAAAAAAAAAGATTAATAAAAAAAAAGTAATCCGACCTACCCTACCTATTTTTTTCTAGCTCGTTACCCGAAACACACCTTTTTTTTAGGCCTTAATATACCGATATATCTTGTATTTGGATCAAAACTGACATTCTCAGCCCCATTAAACCGAACAAGGGTATGTCGAAAGAGCAACACACTTACTTCAAACACTCGGCATGCAAGTCTTTCTGTTGCTTTTGAATTATTTGGCTGGAGTTTATCCAGTTTCTCAATCGCATCCATTCGTTCGTTAGCATAGAACTCTTTGTACTGTTTTTCCAACAAGGTAGAGCTATCTATTTCGCAGATGTTTACAACATTCTCTGTATCACCAAAATTCATATTCGCACCAGCTACATTAGCTGTGCTGTGGAAAAAAAGCAGAATGGATTTCAATTAATATGAAATAATAAGTGTTATGATTGGTTGTGTTATATACACTAGTCAGTGTTTAGTTTGGTTTCTTCTGTAAACGCCGAAACAATAAGTAATTTCTACAGAGTCAAATATAAATAATCAATTTTTAATGAGATTATCTTGTAAGGTTATCAATACCAGTGAATTTGATGCCACTATAAAACAGAAAACGCGGAGAAATGTCCACAGTGAACGAAACAGTTTCACAATCACTGATACACCGTCTCAGGTACCCGCCTGCGACCCAGAACCACGCTACGCTAGAGTACACATAGTCTCCAGATCGCTATTGCGTAGCGAGGGTTCAGATCGAACATGGCTGGAAAGCCTTCGAGTGTAAGCTATTCTAGAAAACCGTCAACCGTGACTTTTAAAGGGCGTGGTTGTCGCGCCACGCATGTGCGAGATATGGGTCTCATATAAACAAAGCCGGCAGCTTTGACTGTTGTGCACACCAACAAATACAAACCGAGAGGTTAGCAAGCTTTAATTAGGTAATTCCTTTGGTGATTGGAAGAAGGTATCAAGGATTCACCGGCGATAATTAGTGCAAGTCGCGCGCAGGTCAAAACTCGTACTCGTGTTAATTATAAGAGCGCATTGGATTGTGGGAAAATCAATGTTCATCAACACAAATGTCAAATATATGCCTCTCCAAATAAAGGGACATATACAACCGAGTTTACAAATACCCAAAATAATGAAACTCAGCCCACTCTCCCATTTGTAAACAAATTCTGACCTTATACTGAAAACACATGAATTATTCACTGGTTTTCTATTTCGCTGATAAGTTATATTCGCTGAATTTAATTCACTTAATCATGTATAATAACGATATAACTCTAGTGTTTTCCAGTGAAATTGCTCAAATCACCAGAATAGTAAATTTAAATGCAAGATATTTCTGTCTTGTAGGTGTACAAGTGAACCTTGTTATTGTTGTAGATTAGTTTACCAGGGAATGTCAAAAAACATACTGTTTTATTTGCCCAATTACAGAATCCAAATATTGCTCTTAAACTGTAATTTCAAATATTGTAGCATTTTCCAAAGTACTGAGCAAATCAGAATATGCATGTTAGATTTTGAGAAATATAATGACTACATGCTTTGTTACAAAGTGACCAGTACTAATTATAGGTAACAATAGTCCGATTGGTAGTAAGTGCAGTGAGTCAGTCCAGGGCTAAGAGATTAATAATACCCAGTCCTAGTTATGAGTAACAAATGTCTATTTGGTTGTTAGTGCAGAGAGTCAGGTCAGGGTCTCAGGGATTAATAATATCCAGTTCTAGATATAGGTAACAAATGACGCATTGGTAGTTAGTATAGTGAGTCAGGTCAGGTTTTGGATTAATAATACCTAGTTCTAGGTAACAAACCCCATTGGTGCATGTAGTTAGTGCAGTGATTCAGATCAGGTCCTCAGGGATTAATAAAACCCAGTCTTAGTTATAGGTAACAAGTGTCCAATCGGTCATCAGTTCAATGAGCCTGGCCAAGACCTCAGGATTAATAAAACCCAGTCCCCAATAACAAATATCAGGTCAGAGCTTCAGGGATTAATAATTAATAATACCCATCAGTGCACCGAGTCAGGTCAGGGAATAATAATACCCAGTTCTAGTTATAGGTAACAAAGCCCATTGGTGCATGTAATTAGTGCAGTGATTTAGGTTAGGTCCTCTGGGATGAATAACACCCAGTCCTAATTGTGAGCAAAACAAATGTCTTATTGGTTGTTAGTGCAGTGATTCAGGCCAGGGCCTCATGATTAATAATACACAGTTCTAGTTATGAATGTATAGAAAATAATTGTCCCATTGGTTGTTAGTGCAGTGAGTCAGGCCAGGGTAATTAGATACCAATAGATTGAATGATAACTTTTGATTTATAAAGGTAATGATTGTTAATATTATTTATTCACTCTTGGTACATGAATAAATGATCTATCACAGCAAGTATCTGGGAATAAATTTAATTGAATTCATGGCCTCCCAATATTTAGTAGGAATGACAAGTTGTTACTCACATTCACATACTATATCCGCAATGCAGCAATAATAAACGTCGTCTTTGTATTGTAGAACGTAATGTTCGTGGCATATTTTTGAACATTTTTTTTGCATATTTTCAAATGTTGCGAAGTTGTCTTAACACTAGTAAAACAAAATAGTTAATTTTGTACTTAGAAAAATGCTGAATATTAATAAAAATACGACGATAAACAGCTACGCGTGTCATTGTTTTTCTACGGGCTTAACGACGAGACTAATTAAAATAGATTGACAGAGGACTATGCAAATCACTGCCCCCTTCTCGTTGATAGACCTGCGCATGCTCCAATCAGTCATAACATCAACAACATGGCTGCCGCCGGATAGTAAAAAGTTCGTCGTAAAAAGAGAAAACCTGGTCCGCCAAAACACAAAAATAAACAAAAACAAAAAACGCATGAATGCGGAGGTACAGTTCGACCTAAAATTATCTGATGCTGGTTCATATTACGACCAAGATGTTTTCTTGAGTTCTGACTCCGATTCGGGCTCCGAGTTTGATCACTGACACGATCACGCTTTGGACCACAGTCCCTCTTTTTTGAGGGACTGTGTTTTGACGAAGCAGCAATGCCGTCCAAGAAAATTAATATTACACGAATCGACGTCTTTTTTGAATACAGATCATTTTGTGTAATATATTCGTAGTTTAGACAGTTTACGTGGCTGGGGCAACAACTGTTTGTACTTTCAACGGAAGCGACCAACTGGACGCGACAGGACTGAGGACTAGATAGAACTTCTGGATTAAGCTCTGTTAGGATTTATTTATCACACTAATAAGACTAACATGGCTTATGACCTAATCCCACGTATTCATTACACTTTGCGTTTATTGTTGTGATAAGATTAAATCGTTGTCCTCCCTTGTTTACTCAGTGAACAAGTGACGCCATTTTACCGGGTGGTTTCCAAAACTTCGTTGCATTTTCCCGAAAAATATCCGTTCCGGTATGATTATTTTCGTCGATTGGGACGTCAAAGATACGAGTATTATCCAAGCGAATAACATTGAATCAAATAGGTTTCCAGTCGATTAGAAAGACTTTTTTGAAATTACTTTTTTGCAAATTTGCCGTTTTCGAGTCTTTCCGCCTGGCACTACGCGTAATACGTTAATATACGTCGAACAAACACAGGATCAGTGGAACAGTTACATTTTTTCACAGAAGATTCTCATCTAATATACCAATAACCGTACGTATCGCATTATTCGATGAACTTATTAAAGCGACAGAAATCTTGAGTAGAATAAAAACAAAAGTTTTCACTTTTGGCTCCCATTTGAAGAAAACAAAGGCTTGCATTGAACTGTCCGGACACGGTCCGATTTGCTCAGTTTATAACAATATAAAGGATTTCTGCAACTTTCAGTATGTTTTCCGTACGTCTGTTTTGAGTGAAAAACTCAAAACAGTCTATTTTCGAGAGAAACACACATACACTTTACTAGTTTGAGACAAAAAATATTTGTACACAATTTAAACACATAGCTAACTACAAATATAGAATATGTATGTAGTCAAATTCCATCTTCACTGTGGAATACAGGTTTGAATATAGGCGAACCTGGGTTTCATCCTTAAAACAAATTAAAACGTAATACAAAGATTGAAATACACATGTCATGGTTGTTATTCATGAGATTAATAACAAGTGGAACCAACCAATAATTTATCACGTTTTCTTTACAATTTAATTTTATGTCTCATATTATAGCATTTCGAACTGACTATAATATTGCCTAGACCAGTCAGTTTTAAATGAAATGTGACTATTGACACACCTTTGTCATTTACGCAAGTGAAATAGCAAATACGTGGTTATATAATATACAAATTGTCATAAAGTTATAAAGGGAATAAATATGATTGCTTGATCAACCATCGAACATTACACTGTGGTGTGTGTTTACATTACTTCCACTGATTGGTTAATTAGGATTCATAGAACACCGATGCAAGATCAATCATCAACATACACACAGTTTTGCCATCAAGTTCACATTACATTCACCGATTGGTTAATTAGGATTCATAGAACACAATGTTCAATAATCAACATGAACACTGTTGTTCATCAGGCGTGCCGAAAAAAAAGTTGATGACATGTTCAAATTTTGCAATTTTATTTGTTTTACACAAAAAGAACGCAATTTCACTAAATTGCATTGAAATCCAAAAATAATTAAAAACAACTTTCAACCCATTATATCTTTGTACCAAATTTAAACTGTAAAATCATCTGTAAAATGGGCAGAACACTCATAAAAAACAAAATGACCACCAGTCGGCTATTTTGAATTGATTCACGAAAAAGTGTGCATTAGTAACCAACTATGATTGATGTAAATGCCAAGTTTGAAGGTAATTGGTCAAGATATGTCCAAGAAACAGTTTTGAACATAAAAAATATTCAAAATACTGAAAAATATAACAATACATTCTTAATAAACAATCTGGAAAACTGAAATAATTATATTCATTGCATACATTGCTAACATTACAACATCTCAAGCCAAAATTAATATTTAATTGCTATCATTAAATTAAAAAGCAAAGGTTACAGAAAATTTGATATCGCACAATTTTGTTTCATAAACTTGAAGACTTGATAAATCGGTAGACTTGAACACTTTTTAGGTTACAACAAATTAGTAAAAACTTATATGACATGGTAGGGCCATAATTTATGTCAATTTCTAATATATCTATTTTTCTAATTTTTCATTTGAACCTTTTTAAAGTGCAAAATTAAAGAACAAATATTGAAAAGAACATATATATTCAGACAAACTCGTAAGAAATATTGTGTAACAGAAGAAAGAATGTCTGAGCAATAACAAAAGGGCTCAAAACCCTGTTGGCATGACACCTAAAAATATGCACGATAACAAAAGGGGCCAAATCCATGACGGTCGATGCATTGGCAAATTCTGAACAAGCACTAGATGTAGTAACTAGGTTTCTATGTAACCTAACATAACCAACACACAGAGAGAAGTATATATAATAGTTGTATAGATTACCGTTGTTTTAGACTGGACAATTCTCTTTCCTTTTCTTTCAGTGCATTATCCAATGCCACAGAGTCTTCATACAACTCACAAACTGGGAGAAGCAGCGATTGTAAGTATGGTATGTCGGCGTACGTTTTTAAACGTGAGCAGTTGTGACTGTCTTGGTTTTGCTTGTCCATCGTGTGTGTGTGTGATAATTATTCTAGAATAAAGAAACATTGTGATGTTAATACATTTCCCTTTGAGAAAACAGAACGCAATGCTATACACGTTTCACATCATGGAATATGCTTAGTAATACAAGGTAAATTGTACGTTTCCTTTTTGGTACGACGACCAATAAATTTTGAAACACTACATTAAATTGCTTGTTCTTTGAGTTCAAGATACGTAATAATTTATTATAATAAGTCATAAGCGACCATAAGTAAAAAGTGATATTTTGACTTATTGATGAAAACTGCAAGTCTGATTGCTTTGATACTATATATATATAGGTACTACAGGTAGATCTCTCAGATTTGTTCATTTCGTGATGATATCTTCAATTATCTAATTTTGATGAATATTTTTGGTAAAAAGTTACAGTTTTTCGAATTCTTGTTGCGAACAGCAAGTCCAATCACTTTGATACTATACATATTGTTCATTTTCTAATGATATCTTCAGTTCTTTAATTGAAATGTGAAATTGCTAACAGCGGAGCTATCTCAGCCGACAGGCTGCTTGTGTATACAAATTGTCAGACAACACAATTATGACAAAGGTTGCATGTCCCTATCTGCAACAGTACTTAGTACATTTCAGTTATGCATATTAAAACATGTATGAAACTAATAACAGGAAATTAATATGCATGTTTTTCAACCCTGAAGTAATCAGATCTGTGAAATATTAAAAAAATGTATCTAGTTTCATTAAAATTCGATCAGTGCTACTCAAGATATCTGTGGAGCACCTATATATTGGTTAATTTATGCAAATTACGTACGCACACAATTTATTCATAAACTGAACATGTATATGCCTTATCTTGAGAAAAAGTGAAAATGGTGAAAAATTGCTAATTAATACGCAAATTAGGTAATTAGTATGCACACAATTTAAATCAAAACTAATCAGTATTGCGCATTATCCCAGAGCATCTATGTAACAAACAAGTTAAAATGCTTGAATTATATTTAGGTAACTAATATGTAAATTCTATAATTAATATGCACAGATTTCAACCAAAACCTGATCAGGTCTGCACATTATCCCAGAGTATCTATGTACTACGTTTCATTGAAATCTGTTTAATAGTACATGAGAAACAAGTGAAAATGCTTAAAATCAGGTAATTATTATGCAAATTTGGTAATTAATATGTACAGAATTTCAACCAAAAACTAATCAGGTCTGGGCATTGTCCCGGAGCATCTATATACCACATTTCATTGAAATCTGTATAATAGTAAAATGCTCGATATCGGTTAATTAATATTCAAATTGGTAATTAATGTGCACGGATTTAAACCAAAAACTAATCAGGTCTGAGCCTTACCCCAGAGCACATACGTATCAAGTTTCAATAAAATATTATTATTGGTTTTTGATATATCAGTGGAACAGACACACATGCAGACACAGACGCACACTAACCGCAAAGACTCCCATTATGTGTTTCGCACACGGGAGTCAATAATAAACTGACATTTAGTAATATAACGTACTTTATCTCACAATACATTATCGCCATTTACATAAAAAATTACATTGTAATATAACTGGGATCGAATACGAAAATACTAGTTGTACACTCGTGTAATTAAAAAGAAAATCTTGATATTTCGTACTATATTGTCATTTAATTTCCTTTTCAAACAACGTTATTCTGAAACACAAAGAAAGAAAGAAATGTTACAAAAATAAGTTTAGTTGCATACGATTTTCCTCAAACCAAAACACGCGGGAGAAAAAAATCAAGTCTGCCTGCAAGGTCAAAATGGCCGGTCTCTGCCTCCCGTAGCAACCATCGTTCTGATTGATAAGCTTTGATAATCATTGATAATTGATTTATAATCATCGTTTTTCGGAGTAAAATCTTTGTCTGACTCGTGTATATTAATGTTAGAGAACAATCTTTATAGAATATACAACTATTTGACCACTTACCATGAGAAGAATGAAGAAAACGCCGGCAACAGTATCCACACACAACACTGTTGCGAGTTAGCCAGAGGACTGAGCATGATCAGTACAGATCATATGGTCTATATCATTTTTGGATAGGGGTGCAACGATAAAACAGTATTTATTTGCAATTAAATTACGCTATAATAACGTTTTCATTAGAAATATAATAATAACACTTAACAATTACATCTTAAACATGTAATAGATTGACTTAACTTAGTGTTCTTAAAAAAGTATGAGTCTACACTACTAAGTAAACAGTGAATAGCTGCTAATAAATTACGTTATTTTAACGGCTTAGGATATTATAACTATGAAATAAAATATTATTTCAATGTACTTTAATTTTGAAAATGGCAAGTCGTTACAAAAAGCTAATATAACAGTTTTGCAAAAATTTGAGCGTAATAAAATTAAGCTATATTAACGTCTCTGTCACGGTTAGAGACCAGTATAATCGTATATAAAATTATCAATGTTTTTAAAAAGTTCATATGAAGCGTCATTTTATCAAAACGTTTGAAATAAAAACGTTATAAATATGTTATATAAAACAGTGATGTGAAATTATTTAATGTTAGTCCAATACTGACATTTAATAACATAATACATTGTAGAAAATTACGTTATAATGATGTAGTTCAAAAATGTTTTTTCAAATCGTTTTTATGACGTTACAAAAATACGTTGCATAATTATATTTGTAAACGTCATAATGTCGTTTTCAGAAAACGTATTTTCACCATAAGAAAAAATAACGTAATTAATTATATCATAATAACGTTTCATTTGACAACGCTATAATTACGCTTTCAATCAGCACCTGTGTAAATCCACGGAGTTATCAGAGTAGGGGGTTATTTATATTTGATCGACTGCTACCTCAGCTCGAACACCGTCATTTTCGAAGTGGGCGACTCAGCGATGGAAAACTCAGTTCAGTGGCCTATTTAGTAATAAACGAGCAAATTGGCTGATAGAACGTCGACATAACATTCCCTTGTTTATCACAAAAGTTTTAATTCACCTTGGGAAGGTCATTTGGTCATTTGGGTCATTGTGTCTCAAAGCGTTAGGACAAAATGGCTGCGATCACGAATTGTTCATCATTGAATGCTATAAGAAGTTTCGGACCTCAATTACTATATCTGGTACCTCATAATTTAACTAACATAAAACTACCAACCATACAGTAAAAAATAATATACTCACCGTTTTCTAACGCTAGTGGCTAATGTTGTATTCGGATGTACGGTGCACGCCAAATTTTGTCGATTACAGACCCTAGTAACAATGACCCTTGTGTCTTCAATATTGATACGTTATGACGTGGCCTCTGTAATACCTGCGAACAGTTGACGGCACAGACAAGTATGACCGTTGTTCAGGGTTGTAATGGTTTATTGGAACCTATTATCATAATCCTTATATGGAGTTGTTTATCAGGTAGTAGACTGCGTACTTTCCCGTAATGTATTTATAAACCTAATGACATGAATGTATGGTGATCCAAAGCACTGCGAGTA